ACCTCCTCTGCGATTGTTGTCGCGGTTGTCGATTGCGTCAACGTCCATGGGACCAGGGTGAGTGCCATACGCGGTGCTACGTGATCTGTTGTTGTAGCTGTTGCCTCCACGCTGGTACTTGTACCCTGTGTTAGCGGGNACCTCTTTGCCTTTACCCTTGCCCTTGCTGACGGAGTTGGTTGAGTGAGTGGGNACATCCGATAGATCCGTATGGACTTCTGGCTCGTCGCGGATAATAGTGGCGAGTGGCCATTCGTCGNTGTTGGTAAATTCTTGAGTCTGTCGTCAGGTGGTGGTTCTGGAGGGGGTGTTTCCTCCGGGTAGTTGTTGATAAACATGACCATTCTCAATGGTTCTTGTGGTGGCGTAGTCTCGTGTGACGAAGGATGCCAACCCTTTCGGTCAGTGACTGAGACTTCTTTGTCTTCGATTGGTTCTTTGTTGACGACGGGCGGTCTTCGTCGCTTGATGGTACCGTTAGTCCAATTGATGTCCGGGTCGTACTTTCTGAGCCAGGGTCTGCCCAATATGGCGTCATGTTTGCCAATGGGTGTGATGTCGAAGACGACCTCTTGTTCGTCCCCGTTGATGGTGACCTTCAATGGTACTGTTTCCCTTAGTACCTGTCCCTGCTCGTAACTCGAACTTTTCCCTTCAAATGTGTACACTCGATAGGGTCTCTTCTTGAGTACCCAAGGTATCTTCCAATCATTCACCGTCTGTGGTGTAATGAGGTTGATCGACGATCCTGAGTCGATCATAGCCATTGCTTGTCCTTGGAATGGCTGTATCCAGGTCATCTGGACCTCGTAAATCGAGTCCTCATCTCGACTTACTTCGAGGATCTGTGGCGGTGCAGCTATTCGCGGTCCTCTCGCGAGGAGCTGGCGCCATTTCCCTGTCTTCTGCGGCCACCATGGCGTTTCCTCTGTGATCTCGACGGAGACCCACAGACCATGCTAGTGCCCGAAGACGATGCTGCTGCGGTTTCCTTGTCCTGTTCCTTGCGGAGGCCCTGCTTATTCTTCTTTTCTCGCAATGCTTGCCCAGCGTGCCATTGTCGTGCTTTGTCGGCCATGTGGACTGCACAGTTGATTCGGCAGCATTCTTGATAGCAAGAGTAGGGAGAAGACATGCAGTCTCTTCCGTATCCATCCTTGAGGGGTAGCTTCAGTAGCTTTCCTCCTCCTTCACGATCGCGTGATCGACCCACGTCCCACATGTTGATGGAGTCCTTGTGATAGGTCGCTCGAACAGGGGCGAAATCCCGTTTTCCATGATCCGTTGTGGGAAATGATCGTGTTCCATCTTGTAGGACAGGTGCCATGGGCAGGCGTTGTATAAGCAATGAATCCAGGCAACCTTCTTATGAGAGGGGTGTTCTGGGTGTACTTGGGGGTGGTCCCCTGCCTGAGAAGTCCATGGTTGGTCGCATATGATATGTACGTCGGCCTCGAAAGCTGATACACCGATGGACTGAAGCTTGGGCTTTGGTGGGTATATCTCGATGAAGGAGCCTTCTTCGTCGATTGGCCCAGCGTAGTATTCGGTGTCGAGTTGTCGGTCGTACTTGTCGTCCAAGTCGAAGGTGCGCTTCCTTCGGGTTTCTTGTCTGCACTTCTTCTTGAGTCCTTGAAACGAGGCTTGGGTGAATGCGATGAGTTCCTCTGGTGTCCTGTGAGCTTCACCGAAGGTATCTTCATAAGATTGACAGTCCTTCCGATGAATCTGTTGATGGTGGCGGTTGTATTCGAGCTGGCGAATCTTAAGCTTGGTAATTTTGGCTTGTTCGATGTCAACGAGTTGGTTGAGTCGGTCCAGCTCGGACTGGAGTTGCTCGTTGCGATCCATCTGGTCGTCGGTGTCCGTGTCTGAATCTCTCATAGCATCCGACAGATCTGTATGGACTTTTGGCTCGTCGTGGATGATAGTGGCGAGTGGCCATTCGTCGCGTTCGTCGATGTCTGCCAAGGGGATACGGGGCGTGGGCGGCACAGAGTGGCTGCGTCGGACTGGGGTTTGACCGCGGGGTAACTCGTTTTCTTTGTTGATGTCCGATCCCCGGATGTAGTCTTCGTCGTCGCTCTCGCTGGCCCGTTCATAATGGTCGCGTTCATACTGCTCGTACTGATCATATTCTTCGATCGACATGTAATCGTCGGTTGGTTCGTTGTTGTCGACCTCCCTACCCTTTCCTTTGCCCTTGCTGATGGAATTGGTCGAGTGAGTGGGAACTGGTTTCCATCCTCCTTGACGCTTGTTGCCTCCGCTGCGGCAATCGCGGGCGAAGTGTCCTGGCTTGTCGCATTTGAAGCACTTCTTGTCCTTGCTGGGGCCTTCTTTGCGGTTATCGACTGCGTCAATGTCCATGGGACCAGGGTGAGTGCCGTATGCGGTGCTGCGTGAGCGGTTGTTGTAACTGTTTCCGCCGCGCTGGTAGCGGTAGCTGCTAGTGTTAACGCGGGGGCGACTGTCGCCTGAGCCTTTCCCCTTGCGTTCGAAGACTCGGTTGTCAATGACGATGGCCTCGTTGATGTATTCGTCGAGGCTCTTGGACTTGTGATCGATTTTGATGAGCTCGTCCTTGACATCGCTCTTCAGGCCACGGTAGAACCGGTACTTGAGTCCTTCATCGTTCCAGTCGACCCTGAAGGCAAGCTGGCGGAACTCGGCGGAGTAGGTGGCGACGGACTTGGTCTGACGAAGCTCGTTCAGCTTGGTTTCGGCGGTGCGAACCTTGTCAGCCAGTCCGAAGACTTGGTTGATTGCGCTCTCGAAGTACTGAAAGTCGTTGAAAATCTTCTGGGTCTCGAGATGCATTTCAGACCAGATGTGGTGTCCGAGGTAGTCGGCTTGAGTGGGCTGAAACCATTCGAGAGCCTTACCGGTGAGGTACGAAGCGGCATATAAGACCTGCTCGATAGTGTCGGTGGTCTTGGAGAAGGCGAGGTTGGTGCGAACCTGGGTGAGGAAGCCTTGGAGTTCTTCCTTCTTGGTGCCGTCAAACTTAGGGGGAGGGTTGAGCTTGATGGTGCTCTTTACGTGTCCTCCGCCAGAAGTGCTGGCAGCGGGGAGAGCTTCAAGATCCATGACCTTGATACGAAGCATGTTGATGGTCTCGCGGAGCGCAGTCTCATCGGTGTCTTTGGTGATGGCGGGGATGAGGCTAGCCCTGCGGGTGCGAGCCGTTTCTCTAGCGAGAAGGTCAGCGGCCTTGACGGGATCGCCATTG